AGTTCGGAAGACAGCGTTCACATCATCCAAACGTACCGAACTCTGACGCCAATCGAACCCGGGTGCGCACCAAATGTGATAGTGTGAAAGCACCCCTAGTGTTCATTTGATATCTAGTAAAATATATGATAAAGAAAAGTTCTACTTATTTCACATAACAGCTACTTACCTTCACAGTGGATGAGCAGTCCTCTTCTGAGATCTGGTTTACTAAAATGGCCACCACAAATTGAGCGTTTCAAAGTTAATCGAGTTTGTCACGTGGTATCTGCTTGGATCCTAAAAAATTGTGTTAATTTGACAAAAATTTTGAGTATTGTTGATTTTACTCAGATTTACTTGTTGTGTTTCTTTATTAAAGTAAACCATGAACACAATATGTTATTTAACAGTTGTAGCTTTAAATTAAGTAATGTGCAAAACTGAATTTTTAAAGTAAAATCTGTTTATTTTAATGAGCCATATTTGCTGAGGGCAGACATCTGCTTGGGTCCTAAAAAAATTGTGTTCATTTGACTACATTTTTTTTTATTATTGTTCACTTTACTCAAAATTACTTGTTGTGTTTTTTTTATTAATTAAAGTAAACCATAAACTCAATATGTTATGTACGATTCGTAGTTTTAAATTAAGTAATGTGCAAAACTTAATTTTTTAAGTAAAATCTGTTTATTTTAATGAGCCATATTTGCTGAGATTTGCAGACATCATTTTTTGCAGTGAACTCACTTATATGCACTCCATCTTATCCCAATTGTATGCAATATTACATATGCCACCCAAAACAATAATCTGTTAAATTAAAAGTATTATTCTGTTTACTATATTTTAATATTTAAATTAATATTTACTATAATATTAATATTTTGTGAAAGCTCTCTTTACAAAGGAAAAGAGTGGGTCACTTAAAATGTCAAAGAAGGAGCTGGAGACCACCTGAAAGCAACACACACAGACAGCCAGAGATATGAGCAGAGGGTGATACCACCAGACATGCCACCCATTCCTCAGCCAGAACATCAACTGGATGACAACCCTCCAAGGTGGAGCGAGGTTGAGAAAACTGTGAGAAAGGCAAGGGCAGCTTCAGCTCCCGGACCAAACGGAGTTCCATACCGGCTGTACAAGAATGCTCCAGAGGTTCTTTGGTTCCTGTGGAGGCAAATGAAAGTGGTTTGGAAAAAGCAAACCATCCCAAAAACGTGGCGAAGAGCAGGGGGAGTGCTAATCCCAAAGGAAAAGGATGCCTCGAACATCAGCCATTTTGACAAATCAATCTCTTGAATGTTGAAGGAAAGATCTTCTTTAGCAATGTTGCTCAAAGGATGACAACATACCTGAAACAGAACAACTTGATTGATACGTTGATACAGAAAGCTGGTATACCAGGCTTCTCGGGATGCTTAGAACATACTAGTATGATATGAAATCAAATCCAGACTGCAAAAAGGGAAGGAAGAGATCTGCATATCTTATTCCTGGACTTGGCCAATTATTTTGGATCCGTCCCCCATTCTCCCCTATGGACGGCCTTTGAGTTCTTCCATGTGCCAACGACCATTACACATCTGGTCAGAAACTACTTCAAAGATCTGCAATTCTGCCTTACAATAACAGAGTATACAACATCGTGGCAATCATTGGAAGTGGGAATAATGGCAGGGTGTACCATCTCCCCCCTAGCCTTTACCATGGCAATGGAATTGATCATTCGAGCTTCCAAATGGGTAGTAGGAGGAGAACGTCTGCAGTTTGGACAGCATCTTCCTCCTATTCATGCATACATGGATGACACAACCACCCTGACCTCAACCATTGCATGTACCAAACGTCTACTGGTAAAGCTTCATGCCAACATAACATGGGCGCGTATGAAATTAAAACCCAGTCAATCTAGAAGCATATCCATTGTCAGAGGGAAACTCGTAGACCAGAGATTCCACATCGATGAAACACCCATTCCAACGGTGTTGGAGATACCAGTTATGAGCCTAGGGCGATGGTACAATGCAAGCCTCAAGGACTCAGATCAGAGTGACCAAATGAGGAAAGAAACCATCAAAGGCCTTTACAGCATAAGTAATACCTTGCTTCCTGGCATGCTGAAACTGTGGGGCCTGCAATTCGGATTGCTCCCTCGTCTAATGTGGCCTCTAACAGTCTACGAGGTCCCCATTACCAAAATCGAGAACCTGGAGAAAACAATCAGCAAGAAGTGGAAGAAGTGGCTTGGACTCCCGCGATGCCTCAGTAATATTGGCCTGTATGGGAAAAGTGCCCCTGTCTCTACTGTCTCTAGCCACACTGAAAAGTACAAATGCACCAAAGTGACACTGGACATGACCCTGACCGAGTCTCAATATGCTATAATACAAGCGCTTCTCCCAGGTAGGCAACTGGGAGGAAGTGGACCCTGACTGAGGCCATACAGCAAGCAAAATCCGATCTCAGGCATGGAGACATTGTAGGACAGGTGCAGCAGGGATGAGGGGGGTTTTGGACTTGGGACAAGCCGACCCATATGGTACAAAGCAACATCTGCCCAGAGGAGAAAACTGATAGTAGCCGAGGTCCTGCAGCAAGAGGAAGCAGAGAGATGCACAAAGGCTGTCTCGCAGTCCAAACAGAGAGAGTGGACTAATTGGGAAAATCTGGAGCAATGTAAACTCACCTGGAAGGATCTTTGGGAGATGGAAGGAAGCAGATTGAGCTTCATCATCAGAGCCACCTACAATGTTCTCCCCACACCCAAGAACCTAAACCAGTGGATTGAAGAGGATCCATCATGTCCTCTCTGTCAAACCCCAGCAATGCTAAGGCATATCCTCGTCAGCTGCAAAACCAGTCTTTCCCAAGGACGTTACACCTGGAGGCACAATCAGGTTCTAAGACAACTGGCGATTATCCTGGAAGGAAGGGGAATCACCACCAATGCCCTCCCTCCTCCAACGACTGGATTCTCAAAAGCCACCGCCTTCGTAAGAGCAGAAAAGCTCCCAGTAAAGCAAACTACAAAAATATAAACAACACTGCTGGACACTGCCCAGAACTGGAAAATGCAGGTTGATCTGGACCAGAAGCTCAGCTTTCCACCTGAGATAATTACAACTAACCTCAGGCCAGACTTGATACTGTGGTAAACCTCACAAAAGTCCTTGTTTATCATGGAACTAACTGTGCCATGGGAGGCTACAATTGGTGAAGCAAATGAACGTAAAAGGCTGAAGTACTCAGACCTAATAGCCGAAGCAGTACAACGGGGCTGGCGAACCCAGTTGCTCCCTGTAGAGGTTGGGTGCAAAGGTTTTGCAGCCAAGGTAACAACCAGGCAACTGAAGGGGTTGGGAGTCAAAGGACAGGCCTTACGACAAGCCGTTAGGTTGCTGTCAGAGGCTGCTGAGCGAAGCAGCAACTGGCTGTGGCTAAAAAGGAAGGATACCAAATGGGCTGCAAAATGAGCTAGAGGGGTAAAAGCAGAGGGGAGTGCACATGGGATGCTAGGTGTCGCTGTTGAGCCCTTTGGAGGTGTCATGGGCCTATCAACGAAACACCAAGGAAGAAGGCCCACCTGATGACCCCAATGAAGTGATTACCCCTACTCCCCACTCAAGATGTCAACAAAGTGCAGATTATTCTAAGGGATTGTGCTATCAAGTCCTATACGCTCAGCTTTACTGCTTAAAGGCACAATATGTAAGATTTTTTTTATTAAAATAAATATTTCCACATGGTGATGTAGATATGTGGGGGCGTGTTAGAATGAGCCGTTTTAGGGGGGCGTGGCAGAGTCTTAACTTTGATAAAGAATATCTCTTTGGTTTTGAGACTTTAGTCTTTGCAACTTCAGGGATCTTATCTATGCACAATCAGCTTGTAACACTCCAAAGAGAAAGGAAAACTTGAAATCGCATCATATGACCCCTTTAAAAGCACAGAACATTTTAGACAATTTATTTTTATTTTATTTTACATTTTGATAATGTAATTTGTAATGTAAATTAAACATAAAAGTGAAAAAAATTATTTTCCAAATATTTTAAAATCCAATATTAATATTAACAATATTAATAATTCACAAAAATGGTTAGAAATATGTTTCTGTATGTTTCACTTAGGCTATCTTATAATTTGCCTTTTAAAGAGACTTTTTATGTCATAATTTATACTTTCCATCTCATAAATATGACTAAATCTTGTAATTTCATCTGTCATAATAGTGATTTTTCATCTCATAGGCCTAATTATGACTTTTTTCACTTTTTGTGACTTTCATGTTTACCAAAGCATAGAGAGAGAGCATCGGTAAACTCCGCGCTGACACTGACAGGTAACGAAACGTTACGACCGCTTCGCAAACAATATAACTTACATTCGCTTAAAGATTATTTCAAAGATACAGTCATATTACTGTCATGTTAATGTTACTTAAAAATAATAGATTATAAATAATATCTTTGTAGGAAGAGTTGCGCGATAGAGAAAAAGAGAGAGAGAGAGAGAGAGAGAGAGAGAGAGAGAGTTCCATTGCTGCATGTGTTTATCACCATTAGCCATAATGTAGCGCTGCCAGAGGTGGCGCCCCGGTACTCAACCGTTTCTTCTCTTCCTCGATTAACTCGAGCGCTGCCGCTGCCGGTTGTACTCCCCGAACTACTTCGGCAACCCGTTGTAATGGTCGACATGGCGACCGAGGAAATAATCAAGCATTTTCTTAAGAAAAGATGAAGATAGCCGAGACACAGTAAGAATGAGTGTGTGAGCGTGCATTTGTTATTTTGCGCTTGTGGCTTGCAGAATAGCGCATTTTTGCGTGCAATATGTGTTCGTTTCTGGGTGTGGACCGCACACTACTGCTAATCTGATAGCACGTTTGCAGCATTTAGCCGCCCGACTAGCCTTGTGTAGCTTTGGCTTGAGCTGTTTTTCGTGTTTTCAGTCAGGGTTGGGGCTTAATTGGTGGTTAGTTCGTGCCATGTGCAGTTTTTGGCGTTTTCTTTGCCAGTAATTTGGATTTCAGCCGTGTATTCGATTGAAATAGCAATTGGGTAAGTTAGCTTGTGTAGCTTATTAGCTGAGGTAACTTAGCTGAACTGAATGCTGTGTTTACACGGGCCTTCGCTTACAAATATAGCGATTTACAGTAATCCACGTGATTCTGGATTTGCATCTATTCTTACCGCATGTCATGTTTCCGCTACATTGTTTTGACAGTGGGTGGATAATAAATGAGTGTTTGGTCAGTTTCAGCGGTTGCCGTTTTACGTAATCGCGGGATCTCTTGTGGTTTAGCCTAAACCGATATCCGTAAGATTGCATATTTCGCCGTTATCCTGTGCCTTACGCTCATTTCATCTCACACACTAGAAAATGTGCAACAAACACCTTTTGGAGTCTGTTTAACTCATTGTCTATACTCACAATCATTGTAAGAAATGAAGACCGTGTTTGCAATTAGCGTATTCAGTAAAGATAGAGACAGGAGCCAGTGAGCATTGTGTTAGCCCGATAGCTAATGGAGATGGACTGTGGAGAACAGAATACATTTTTACCAGTTGGTTTATTTTCGTCAGGTAAATTGTGTTAATTTTAACATGTTGCTATCAAACATGCACATATAAGGTTATGCAATGCTTATTCATTCAGAATGGCTTGAACTATATGAAGTTGAGTTTATTGACAGACGAGTTAACTGTGGGTAACGTAGCCTGTTTACTTGAGGCAAAACACCACAGGTAACTAGAGTAATAATTAACTAATAAATATCACCATACTTTTCCCACAGACAGCTGTTTTATATTACAAGCTTTCTGATAGGTTATGTTTAAATATGCTAATTAACTATTATCTAATTGAATTTGCACTAATTATCATACATTACTTTTGGATAAAGCATGGTTCAAAATTCATTTTGTTGACAGAGTTAAAGGATTTTACAGAGAAGATTTAGAATCTTTTTTTTATCACTCCATAAATCAGAAAATACTGTCAACAGCCAGAAAAAAATAATAATGTTTTTTTTTTCAGGAATAAACTAAGGGAAAAAAGGCTTAGTAAATGAGAAGAAGAAAAAATATTTTTGAGAGAATGTCCTTTAAAGATATTTATTGTAATAATTAACTAATAAATATCACCATACTTTTCCCACAGACAGCTGTTTTATATTACAAGCTTTCTGATAGGTTATGTTTAAATATGCTAATTAACTATTATCTAATTGAATTTGCACTAATTATCATACATTACTGTTGGATAAAGCATGGTTCAAAATTCTTGTTTCATTTTGTTGACAGAGTTAAAGGATTTTACAGAGAAGATTTAGAATCTTTTTTTTATCACTCCATAAATCAGAAAATACTGTCAACAGCCAGAAAAAAATAATAATGTTTTTTTTTCAGGAATAAACTAAGGGAAAAAAGGCTTAGTAAATGAGAAGAAGAAAAAATATTTTCGAGAGAATGTCCTTTAAAGATATTTATTGTATTTGAAAGTTTTCTTTCCATTAGTCTGAAAGATGACATCTTATGGAAGAAGAATAGCCCAAAATTTCAAAATTGACCCGTGCATGGAAAAACAGTGGTTTTGCCTGTAGTGTCTTGCCTTGCTGATCAGCTCAGCGCAACTCAATGCTTTTCAGAAATTAAGTAATGTTCCTGCCTCAATAGGTTTTAAACAATTTATTCTTATAATAAATGTTTAAACTGTAGTGTTTTTGTTAGTTTTCTTGTTTGTTTGGGTAGCAACAGCTGCCAGACGTGGTTGATCTACACTACGCCAGTTGGTTCCTGTGTTTTACGGTGTAATTGTGTTGATTAATAATGTGCATCATATGAACCCATCACTAAAGATAAGGTATACTATTTTCTATTTTCCATATTTGTCAGATTAATCATCAACTGCATCTTTTGTTCCAGGTTTCAGGTTTCACACCATGTGATGATCACCCGGGACGTGTGAACTTAAGAACTCCTGTGTTCAGAAGATTTTTTGATTCCAGTGGAATCTTTCGTTTTTTTCCATCTATTATTCCCTTTTTGTTAAATGACACACCCGATCACACATACACCCCAAAAGAGAAACCCCCCCACCATTGTTTACATGTAGAACAACCTTGCTACGATGCCTGTACAAGCTCCACAATGGACAGAGTTTTTACTGTGCCCCATATGCACCCAGACGTTCGAGGAAACGGTGCGTCGGCCCATCAGTTTGGGTTGTGGCCACACCGTTTGCAAGATGTGCCTCAACAAGCTGCACCGCAAAGCTTGTCCATTTGACCAGACGGCCATCAACACTGACATCGAGCAGCTGCCTGTCAACTCTGCCCTGCTACAGCTGGTTGGGGGTCAGGTGAGGCATTTCGACTGTGTTTACGGAGTAGCATAACTAGGGCTGTGATGGTGGCAGTTTATTACCACCGTGGAGGTAAAGGGCCAACCACTGGCTGTTTTGGGTTAGTTTCTATCAGTGTAACCACCATTCTATAATAATGTGCTGCATTGAAGCATGTGAACACGCATCACTCACTCATAGAGATCAGAGATCGCACTGCGCACACACAGAAACATTCAGGAGTAGTGTTGTCACGGTACCAAAATTTCAGTATTCGGTACCAATACCAGTGAAAATCCACGGTTAGGGGTGTGCGATATTGACAAAAAATTATATCTCGATATTTTATGGGATTTTATCGATAACGATAATTAGACGATATTTTGCTGAGTGTGTTATTGTGCTGGTACCTTAAGGACTGCCGAAGACAGCTGACTCCTAATGTTTTTAATATTCTTCATATTCTGTGTGGTGGTCAGTTCATCGCGTTTCGAGGGGGTCCCCCGTTAAAAATCGCGTTCCGAGGATAAAATACGCATGTTTTGGCGGGGTTCCCCTGGTAAAATTCGCATTCCAGGGGCTAAATATCACGTTAGTGGGGTCGTTTTCCAACCCGCGGACATGAAAATACCCCCGCAGCAACAGTGTTAAAGCAGCCCAATTCCCGTGGACTTGGCAACACTGGAAGAGGATAGCTTTCGGGTAGCGCATCAAGAACCGGGTTGACCGGGTACTCGGTACCACCGGTACTTAAGAAAACCTGGTACCGTAACGTTTTCATTTTTTTAGTACCGACTTGGTACCGAAATACCGGGTCTTTTGACAACACTATTCAGGAGCACAGAAACTTGTTGTCAATGTTACCAAAATGATATTTAGCAATAAAATGGCTTTGATAGCATACTAAAAAAGCTACAATGACATGGTAGTGTTTTTTTAAGTAATTGAACTTGCAGCTTCAGTTTTATCAGAGGGAAGCTGCACAGACCAGGTAGTTCACATGCACAGGTTCTCTCTCTGTCATGATTTCACAAAAAAAAAAAAACAGTCCTTCCAAACTACTTCATCTCGATGTCTGATATATAGCATGCAGAATGCTAGATCTAAAGACCCGTTGACAAAATAACATTAGGTGGTTTCTTGCCTCCACGGCATCCATTCAAATTGTATAATGCACATCTGTGGATTTTCCCTTACATACAGTATTATTTGTGCAAAATGCATTCAAATTTAAACAATATGACATCCTTGAACATAGAAAGCAATATGAATGATTCAAAATATCAGTCAAGTTTTAGCCAAACTAAGCCAAATTTGATTACATTTCCCATTAAAGATTACTGTATATACTAGGGCTGGGTTTTGGCACAAATTTCACGATTTGATTCGATTCTCATTCACAAGCTTTCGATTCGATTCAATATCGATTATTTTGGATATATATCAGGTACAGTACATGCCAAATTTTCTCAAGGAAAAAAAATCTCTCAACTAATGCTGTGAAATATACATGAGTCAGTTGGTACTACATTAATATTGAAGGTTAAAATTTAGAGATGCACCGATTGCAATTTTCTTGGCCGATTCCGATTTCCGATTTTTTGTTAGTGTGATCTACCGATGCCACAACAGCACAAATAAATGCATAGAATAAAGAGAGCTATGAAACTAAGTTTTTCAGGTTAAGTAAGTTTTTATTCAGGTAAGAAATACTACAGAAATTAAAGTAATCAAATGTAAAATAACACTGGATGTGTTACAAATGGATAACGGTAAAATAACACTGTTTCTGTAGTCTTCATTGTAAAAATGAAATCCAGATTAATGCTTACCATTAAAGTTATAAAACGTATTCAGTCAAGAGCGGAAAGTAATTTTCTTTGTTTTTTGTTCGTTGATTAACATGACGGACAGCAGCAGGAATATTGGACTGCGGTCCCTTTAAGAGTTTATCCACGGACCTAATATACTGTAGGGTTGTGGATGTTTTGCAGAACAAATCCTGACTGAACGGATAAAGACCGGAAAATAACGGTAATTTAATTTGTTAGACTATTTTATCTACAGCTCGTTAGAGGTAGAATTCTTTAGTGAAATAAAGATGATATTTATTGAAATTAATTCGAATGAATTAAGGAGAGAGAGAACGAACGAACAAACGAACGCATGCACCCACGTGCGAGCGAGCAATTGTGAAGCATTGCAAACTTAATTACAAAAACTGCTACGTTATCACCTCATTGCTGAGAAATATATGTAGCTTTTAGCTGTTGTATTTTCAAAATTCACGGGGCGTTGAAAACCAGCTCCTGAATGTGCAATTTCTTACCTATAAAAAGTTTCCATCTCAATAAAATGCGAGCGCATACAGCACAC